AGATATCCCTCTTCGGTGAAAGTTTGGAGACTATTAAGGAGCCAAACACAAAGGTCGAACCCTAACCATATATTCAGCTTCCTTTTCCTTTGAATTTCTGTAATACAAAGCTTCCTATTGAATTTTGAAGGCGTAAAGATGAAAATCTTACCTTCAATTCGAAGTTTTTGAGGTCTAACAATTGCTTCTAAATGACAGACACCTTTTCCTCTCGTCAAGACTTCCTCTCTCGAATCTTGGGCAACAACAGAGTGTGTGAGCGGTGGAAAACCCTTTAGGGCATCAGCATAGCTTTGGGATGCATAGGTGAAGACCTTTGCTGCTTGGGAGATGGGACGAGTCTCAGTTCTCGCTGGATTTTTTGAGGTGGAAGCTATATATCCATTGATAGGATTAGTGAATATCGGAGGAGATGAAGAGGGATGAGAGTATGAAACGACAGTTCCTAGGCCTAAGGAGACTGCCGGAAAAGGAGTTCCATCTGGATTGCCGGCTGAAGAAAGCTCTCGCCTCTCTCTACAAATCTTGCCATTTCCTATATATATATATATATATATATATATATATATATATATAGGTCAAAACATCTCCTGTAGCTCACATGTAAATGCAGCTGAATGTTGGCCGCGTGAATCCATGTTCGAAGCTTCCCACCGTTCTCTGTTTTGTCATTTTTCTCTCTCAATTCATGGGCCGAATTTTAGACAGATAATATTTCCGGTCCGCTAGTAATAAACCAGCAGTTAGTTGTGGCGGATGCATTTTGATATCTCACTCTTCTCAATTTATCTTGGCGGATGCATTTTGATATCCACAAACATAAAATCTAAAACGAATGCACTGTGGTAGTGAATATATGCATTATGATGTATGCTTTAAATTTTATTCAAATTCTGTTATATCAAATTATGAACTCCTAAGTGATGAAAAAATATGAGAATGCAATGTAATACGTGTAGTACAAATTTGAGAAATAATTTGCCTATGCAGGATTCGAACCCACATTTGTATTACATACCGCTCTACCATTTGAGCTAATAGGCAATCATTAATTTTTTTCAAATAGACTTTTATCTTGCACTTAGACCTATTAAATATTCACTTTGATCTCTTAAAATCGGCATCTTTCAACATGCCTTTGACACATATTTAAATGTATCAAAGAACATTTAAAATCAATATTGGCAAAAAGTTTATTATCTACTTTATACAAATGCGTCATATTTATCTGAGATGAATTTCACCATCAAATGCATCCATTTAGACCATCAAATACATCATTTTAATTCTAAGAATGCACAATAAAGTGAATTCATTATCCTATACCTTGATTTTAAGAATGCATTATCTTCCCATGTAAATGCATCACCTTAACTCTGATAATGCACAATAGCAAAAAAAGCAAACAAAACGTTAAAAAGGTGAAAGAAAACTAAAAGCAGTAATATACACCTCTATGAATACCAAATTTTCAACAACATTGTCATGGAAATATAAAAATCACAAACATACAGTAAATTTTATAATCAACATTGGCTCAGGTAAGTGAGTGCACCATTTGCCAGTGCATGAGCATTACCATCTTACTCAGAATGCAATACTGTGTAAAAATTAAAAAAAAATTGATATACTAATTTTGGACACTAGATGCCAAATTTGTCTCATAAACGCAATACAAGACAAACCGAGAAGAATGATTAGTGCAAAAAATATTTCAAACTGAAGTAAAAAAGAATTCACGAATCAAGAAACTAAAACATATCTAGCTACATTCAAAATATGATACTGCATTCAAGGGAGTTTCTTATTGCATCATGAGAACTGACCATGATTGAAATACTTAGTGCTTGAATCCTAATTGAACAAATTCAAACTCGTACGATTAATCTTTAAAAAATACGGAGTATAACTATTTCTTTTTTGGAAACTGAATTTGAATTCTAGGTTGCTAACCAGCACTTTTTTACTCTGAAATTGAAACTCCGTGTAGAGTTTATCCACAAAGGTCAAAGCAAATGTTAAGGGTTTTTCGAGAGCTTCATTAGTGCTTTGCTGGAACTGTTCGAAAGTTTGTTTGCGTGTCTCCATTGGATCAGCACTGCTCTGATACCAGTGTTAAGGGTTTCGAAGGACTGATTCAATAGCCAAAGAAATTAGAAGGAATATAGAAAGAAAACAGAGAGGGTAATTGAAGCAAATTTCTGATATTCATTCCCAAAAGCAAACTGGAGAATTTAAAGGAAAAAAAACTCAAAACTACTCCTAACAACTAGGGAGGAAGTTACTGGAAACGTGGGCATCCCCATTATTTCCTTTATTTCAGCAACTCCAATATAAGACTAATTCAAAAGACTAAAATTCAAGGACTAATTCAAAAGACTAATTAAGAGATAACTAGAAAAAAATCTGCACCATTAATTTCACTTCTCAATCGGCAGGGGCTGCACATAACAGCAAAATAGAATGAATAAAACTAAAAATTTGAAAACATAAATTCACAAGTAAATCCATGATTAATCGTACATGGATCTGTAAGAGAATGTATCCAAGAGTGATGAATCCAATCATGACAAATTGAAGGTAGAATTGATAAAATACAAAGGTTTTAACTTTGGAGCATACCAGATTCGGACGGAAGAACCATTTGATGTGTTGTTTGACAGCGTAAAAAATGGAAGCTAAATTCATGAGACGGAATCCAATCATTGACGATCACATACCCAGATAAGGAAAACAGAAGCCGAAAGGAAAGAAGATTGTGGGCAAATTTTCCGGAGAAGAAGAGCACCGTATAAATGAATTATTAAAGTAGTGTGATTAAAAATCCTTAAATGCCCTTGTGAAAAGTAATAAGAAGGAAGGGATGAGATCAAGATCCAAGGGTTATTATTCATTCTTATTTCTTTCATTAGATCTCATTCTTACCGGAACCAAAACATACATACATACATACATACATACATACATATATATATATATATATATATATAGGGGCCGGTTCCCGTGAGAATGCACCTTGTGGAGAGAAATGAGAATAAAATCTAGCCGTCGGATCTGATGCATCGTGGCCGAGTCTAACGTAGTACGCGAGTCTAAAACTCTATGACGTAAAAGCTTCCAAATACCACGTAAAGCTGCACTACGTAAAAGCGTGGTAAAACCACCATCTAATTTTGATGAAATCTTGACCCTTAGATCTCGCAATTTAAAGCACCAGATTCATTCTCATTTCTCTCCTAAGATTGCATTCTCACCAGAACCAAAATCTATATATATATATATATATATATATATATATATATATATATAATTTTCATATTTCAATACGTGAAGTTTCGACATTAGAGTAATGTGAGTATACTTTGTGTATTTTCAAACATAAAAAATTAATCTATACCTAAAACTTTTTCTCATATCCGAAGCTTTTTTCCTTGATATCGTTTTTCCTTAATTGTAAAAAAATAAAATTCTCCTATCTTACTATAAAAGTATATTATCTTATTTGTATGATATGATAATCAATAAAAGTCAAGGAAAATCTTTAAAGCATGTTTGTCTTCTACTAAAATAATCCGTCTTTAGTCATGGTCACTTATACAATGCATTTTCTCGAGTGACAAATCGTTATGATGTTAAAGTTTTAATAGGCAATGACAAAAATAATGTACCCAAGCATACTACTTATGTTGTATTCAATGACGTTTTTTAAAATATTTGAAACATATTATAATTGTCAGTTCTTCTTAGATTTATATACCTATCATTTTTAATGATTTGTATTCGTTCACATTGCTTTAACACTAGCAGTATTCATTTTTTTGTAGAGTTTTATTTTTTATCCCAGTATTTCACTACATTTCATGTAAGGAAGAATTTTTGTTAAAAATCATGGTACTCTTAACATTTAATTAATGAAAAATATAACGACAAAATTCTTACTATGCAATGCACGGGTACGATTTTATTGTTTACTCAATGAAAATGGTTAGATTGAGTAAAGTTAAAATAATGATATTTATAAAATGGTGACAATTAGGGTGTCATGGATGGGGTCAAGCTAAAGAAGAAGAGAGAGTTGGTGATGGCGAATTAACACCAACGAAAAGTCAAATCAACAATAAAGTCGATATACCACCTCGCACAAGTGATTCATTATATGAATCTGATTGTAGAAGGGATTTTGACAATCCTAACAGTTGTTATAACAATCACCAATCTTGTGAAGAGGATAGCGATTGTACCTGTTGCTGTGATCACTATGAAACTCACCAATATTGTTTATTTTCTATATGCGTTTGTATGTTTAATTGGTTAATGAATGCAAATGTCATTGTAAGTCCTAAGTTAATTGACTGAATATCAAATAAACGTCGACAAAAATAACAAAGTACTTTAATAGTTTTTGCATGATTACAATATGAATCATATTTATTATGTCCTCTAGCATTTGTCTATTTTAATTTTTTGAGTCAAAAGAGACTATCTTCAAGTATCCATTTCACCTTAAAGATCATTAAGTTGGGGTTTCTCTGTACTTATAAATTGCTTAAAATTGCTTATAAGCATAGTTAGTAATATACGGCAAATATATAATACGTAAATATGTACGTTCGTGTATAATACGTTAGGATTTTATAAAATACGGCTTACTATGCATATTAAACGTTCGACATACGGATACGGATACGTACGCGTTTTAAACGTTTTCTATTTTTAAAATACGTCTTATTATATGTTTATATATATTATCATATATACGTCAAATTTACACATATTTATCGATTGATAGTCATCAATTTATATTAGGGTAAATACACAAAATACAAAAATATTTTAAATGAAACATTTACAATAGATTTTTTCAAATTAGAATCTCTATTTATTTGACATATGTATTTGAAAAGTATATATACTCTCCTCATTTGAAAAAATATCCTTATTTGAAAAGTATATATACTCTCCTCATTTAAAAAAAATATTAAAAATAAAAACTTTAAAGTTTGAATATATTTAGAAAAAAACCAACAAGAGTTGTGAGTTATTCGTTCCTTTCTAAAAGAAAATGATTTTTTGAGACATACAAAAAGAAAACAATGAAGTCTTTTTTTGAACGTGACAAAAAGTGTAAAATTTTTTGTAGAATGTAGATAGTATATATTTTATTCAAAATTGATTGAGTATTGTATGTAAAACTCATATGGAGTATTACTCGTATTTTATTTAAATATTTTTTGAAACAAATTAATATTTGTTGTTGTACAAAAAAATTTATAATGAAATATTCAATTCATACATACTATACGTAATTATACGTATAGTATCAAATATACGTGTATTTTAAAGTATATTTGAAAATCATATGGATACGTGAGTATAATACGCGTATTATACGTACGTAAGTATAATACGTGTATTATACGCGTATTAACTAACTAGGCTTATAATTAAGTAGTTTTTAACTAATAAGTCAGTCAATGAAATATTTTTCAGTGTTTATAAGGTGACTTATAAGCTTCTTATAATCAAGGCAATAAATAATTGGGTCTTACATACTTTTAGGCTTATTTTTTTTGTTTCAGCGTTTTGACTAGATTATATACAAAATTGTCCATCAACATTTGTTAATATTTGAAAATGATTTATCTATCATTTAAGTCATTTTATTTCTACGAGAGAATATTTGATATATATCAGCAATAAGCCAATAAGCAGCAACATAGAGAAACAACACTAAAATTAGAAATCATCCTAAATAGCATTAATACATAGAGAAAAGTACCAAAATAGGACTTTCATGTTTTTTTTCCCGGAATAGGACTTTGCACTGTGGTAATGTGACTTTGCATTGTGGTAATGTGGCAGTGTACATGTGCAAATTACTATACTTTTTTGGTAATGTATATGACTATGTTTGGTAATGTAAGTCCTATTTCGGGAATAAAAACATGAAAGTCCTATTTTGATATATTTTCAATGTTTTAGTCTTATTTTGATCTTTCTCCCTGATTTGTAGTATAGAACGGGCAAAACTAACAACTAAAAAGAACCCTTGTAAGTAGGGTGTCGAACCTAAGGGAGACGTGAATTAATTTAATTTAAACAAAAGTTTACAAAAGAAGTTGTAAGATATTTTTGGTCTTTTTGGTTTTAGAGATAGAAAATAAAAAGTGTAAAAGGAGAGAGTTCCAAACAACACAAAGTTTTTATGATGAAAAGTTAGGGGTAGAAATTGGTAAATTAATTGTCCAATGTTTTTATAAAAGTTGGATATTTAATTTATTTTTATATAGAATATATGGGGTTGCAGAAAAGTATTTAGGGACGCTCTCGCAGTTCACCTAAATAATAACCACTCCGACTTTAACATGCTAATGATAAATCCGAAGTAATTATTTAGTAACAACGGCAACCATAATTATTTTATTGTATGTTTACCCAATTTAATGGTGTAAAAATACAACTCAATAATTATGTCCACCCGAAAGTCTTAAATCCCGGTTAAAGGTAGAGAAGGCTTACAGTGTATTTAAAAAGTGTTCTATTTTATGATTATATCAATTTTAGCTCATATTCCTTGTAACAATTATGTTTATGATTGGGACCTTAATTAAAAATCACAAACATTCCGAATTTATTTATTTTTAAATATAACATCTAAATAAAATAAAATTAACAATCCATATTAAAAATATTCAAAACATTAAGATGGACAATTAATTACACCAACTTCTAACCCCAATGAAATTTAGAAGTTCATAATTTGAAGCTTAAACAAATAAATATTTATTACAAACATAAAAATCTTACAAAATGGAAGATGTGTTCTTGAGCTCCAAATATGATAGATGATGATGAAGATGGAGTAAATTTTATGTGTTTGAATGAAGAAAGTGGTGAGATATTAATGATGGAGGAAGAGAATTTTGAAATAGAGAGAGTAGAGAAGTGGGGGGTTCCAACCTCTTAGGAGAAGAGAGGAGATGTGATTTTATAGATAAATTCGTATATACGGAATATATACAAATAGTAGCATAATTGGTCAAAACATCTCATGTAGCTCACATGTAAACACAGCTGAATGTTAACCGCGTGAATCCATGTTCGAAGCTTCCCACCGTTCTCTGTTTTGTCATTTTTCTCTCTCAATTCATGGGCCGAATTTTAGACAGATAATATTTCCCGTCCGCTAGTAATAAACCAGCAGTTAGTTGTGGCGCAATGGTCAGAGTATCAATTCCAACACCCTCAAGTCTAGAATTCGAACCCCAGCTTTCATCTCTTAATTTTAAAAATTTATTTCTTTCTTTTTCTTCAAATCTCTTCCATTTATTTTGTTCCCAAATTTCCGTGTTTATTTTCCGTTTTTGAAATTATTCTCAATGCGTCCAAATGACCTCAAAATACCTGCAAAACATATAAAATCAAGCATAGGACCGCTCTACTAAAATAAAACGGAAAATTGACATAAAATGTAAACATTAATTCAATTGGGACTCAAAACTCCTTCAAAATATGCCTAAAAAGTGTATAAAATATGTGCATATCACTCCCCACTAAAATTTGCATTGCATACTAATATAATGAATAAAATTTATTATCGTTTTTTGCAAGATACTTTAAATAAAATCATTATTAAAGTCATTAAATATAATATTTATTTAATATGAAAAATAGAACTAAATAAATTTTTATGCCTTCATTTGGTGAAATTAGGAGTTGAAAATAATTGAGAAAAGTTATAGTCGAGTAAATTGAGATGAACTTCCATTTAGTGACACTAAAGACTCCATCAAAGGAGTAATAGGGTAGGAACCGGCATAACCTCTGAACTTATAGACCTAAAGCAGATCCACTATAAACAAGGAAAATATCGAACACGTAATTTGTAAATCATTAATCTCTACATTCGACAACTTAATTGAGTATAGGGATGGCCATTCAACCCGAACCCGAGCTTAACCGACCCGACCGACCACTAAAATATCCGAACCCGAACCGAGAATAAAATAATCCGAACCCGACTCGAAATTTTTTACCCGAACCCGACATCGGGTCGGGTCGGGTGTGGGTTTATTATTTTACCCGACCCGACCCGACTCAAACCCGAATATTTTATAACATAAAAGCCTATCTATGGATATAATGAGCACTCTGTATAATATCTTGACAAAGTACTACTATATCAAGTATGCCTTTTATAATCATTTTTATAATTTCTTAATAAAAAAAATGAGACACAAAAAAAATTAGATGTAATCTTTTTAAAATTATTGGGGTACGCCGAATTGATTATTAGTTAAAAGTCGGGTTCGGGTTTCTGGTTGGAATGTCGGGTTCGGGTTTTGGCTTAAAAAGTCGGGTTTCGGGTCGGGTTCGGGTTTCGGTTTTTAAAGTCGGGTCGGGTTCGGGTATAGTACTATCTGACCCGAACCCGACCCGTTGCCATCCGTAACTGAGTATAGAATCTAATGGATATCGGGTCTGATGGACCCGACTCCAGGCCCAAAAGAGGCCCACAATAGCACGAAATGGACAAGGCCAAGTGCCAGTAGCGGATTTAGCCCACTAAGACGCGTGTGGCGAATAAGACTGCCCGATCATGGGCTGAATTAAGATGACCCAGTCCGGAGAAGGAATGGGACACGTGGCCCACACCACCAGATTGTGGACGAGATGGGAAGAGAACGAGACCGGAAAAGAGGGAATCACAACTCCATGATCTCCATAATCCCTCCCATTATGTATAATGTTAATTACAATATTAGAAGTACTATAAAAGGGGAAAGAACCCGCCATTGTAAAAGGAGTACCCAAGCAATTCTATACTTAATCAAAGAATATTATTACGAGATTATATCTTTCTGGTTCATATTACGTTCTTGGTCCGCCATCTGATCGGGTTAATCCCATCATTGGTGCTTTCATTGAGAGAAACTGTGAGATAAAGTTGTGAGATTATGGCCGGACGAAGGACGAGGCGTAACACCGCTGCTTCCGCCCAGTCGACGGTCAGGAGTGACCATCCCGAACAAGGTATGATCGTTCCTGTCAATGGGCTTGAAACGGAGTTGAATAATGTGGCTAACATGATGGCCAACATTATGGAACGCTTGGACCAGGCTCTCCCTGGCCCATCCGGTACCCGGGATGTCCCTGCCGGGCAACCCCGCTAGGTCATGCGTACTGCCAGTTCTCCCATCCTCCAGGAGCTTCATGATCCGGAGGAGGTCGAGAGGGAGAGGCAGGCCATCGCTAGGCGCTATGCGGAGGAGATGGCCCGGAATAATAGGGCGAATGGAGATCGGACTAGGGCTGTGAGCCAAGTCATTGGTAACGGAAACGACAACCTGCGGGGAACCGTTTTTGAAAGGATATCTCACCAGAGGGCTCACGTGAGTGAGAGGCTGGGGAAGAATCCGGACAAAGCACCCCAGGGTTGGGTACGACCAAAGGCCAGCCAAGTGGCTTCATCTAACCGCGAACCTCGGCAGCGGGCCGGCCGCGGTGGGAGCCAAACGCCAGTGCGGTCGTTGGTGGTCTTGGACGAGGAGGAAGTTCAGAGCCAAGTCAGGGTCCCAGCACCACAACGTCTGGGGCCACCGCAAGTACCTGAAGCTGGCGAATTCCAGGATCTAAGGCAACAGCTCCAGGAGATGCAGAGGAAGATGTATAGGGGACGAGTATTCACAACCCGGACGAATACCCCGCTTGCCCTAGAAATCTTTGCGGAACCATATCCGTAGGGATTCAAGATGCCGTTTGTCAAGCGTTATGATGGGGATTCGAATCCCCAGGAACACATAAACACCAGGTGATGATTGCCGTCGATGCCAGCGACGCATTGATGTGCTGGTGCTTCTTGCAGACAGTTGATAGTAAGGTTGCGGATTGGGTGAATCACATTCCTGTCGGATCGATCCGGAAATGGGATGAATTGAGATTGCAGTTCTTAGAGCATTTTGCAGAGAACTGCCGTCCCAAGAAGCATTTCACTCACCTGGCTTCAGTGCGGCAGAAGCACGGAGAATCCTTGAAGAATTTCCTTATCCGGTGGAGGAAAGAGTCCAGGGAAGTTGAAGGAACCGATGATAAATCCAGGTTAGCCATGTTCACAGCGGCATTGCAGGACGGTCTCCTTCATACTGATCTTACAACTCATCCCCCGGATACCTTCGAAGAAGCAATGGTCCGGGCCGGGAGGTATGTGACCCTGGAGGAGAGGAAGGAGGAGAAGAAAGAGAAGACTCCTAAAGAAGAAGAAAAGGTGGGAAATAAGAAGCCTTTCAAGAACAAGAAGCAAGGTTTCCCGGATGGCCCAAAAGGAACAAATCCTGGGACCTCGGAGAAGCACAAATCTGCCAATCCAGCCTTTACGTTACCGGTGGCTGAGGTCATGGCCCATGCTGCACAGCAGGGACTTATGACTTATCCGACCTATTCCCAGAAGGTCTGCAATGTGGCGGACACTGGAAAATGGTGTGCCTACCACCGCAAGAATGATCACAACACAGAGGACTGTTATACTCTGAAGAATGAGATGGCGAGGCTAATCCCCGGGGCCATCTAAAGAAGTTTGTACAAGATGGTGACGCGGGAAATCCCGGGAACGCTTAGAATGGGAAGCGTAGAGATAAGGAGGTGGCCCAGGCTGAGGCCCGGGAAAAACGCCACATTGGGCTTGAAGATGAAGAGGAGGATTCAGAGCCCGCACCGCACCGCTAGAAGAGACACTACGGGTGTAACTTCATCATCGGAGGGAATACTGGCGGAGACTCGGCCACGAGCCGGAAGGTAAGAAGCTGAAAACTGAGCCGGTTGTATTTTCTAATGCCGATTTGCCTGAAACAGGGGTCCCCCATAGGGACGTCCTGGTAATTACGATTGATATAATGGACTTGTTGATCCACAAGACTTTGGTGGATACGGGAAGTTCCATTAATATCATGTATATGGATACTTACAAGGCTCTTGGTTTGACAAGAGATGAGTTATCACCCATTAAGACTCCGTTGACCGGTTTCACGGGTGACTCTATTGAACCGGAGGGGGTAATAACCCTCCCGGTCGAGATAGGGGATACTAAGGCCACCCGGAAGTTGGACATGGAGTTCGTCGTAAAGGGGATAATCTCCAATACCAACATCATTCTAGGCAGACCCGGATTAGAAGATTTGGAGTGCGTCATCTCACCTCGTCACCTATGCATAAAGTTCCCAACCTCCCCCCCCCCCACGGAGTTGGAATCGCTAGTGGATCCCAGAGAGTGTCCCGGGCGTGGTATTTGAAGGCAACTAAACAGCCTATCAAGTACGACACCCAAGTGGGGGAGGTGACTGCACAGCTCTTAAGGGCCGAGGAGAGACGTCCCAGAGTAGAAGTTGCAGGCGACATTGAGGAAGTTGACCTGGAGCCGGGCACGACATTGAGGAAGGTGATCTCAGTCCTTAGAAGATTTAGGAAGGTCTTTGCATGGAGTCCAGCTGATATGCTAGGGCTGGATCACAAGATTGCAGTTCATCGCCTTAATGTCCTGCCAGATGCTAAACCGGTGAAGCAGAAGCGAAGGCATTTGTTGCAGGAAAGGAGAGATTTCGTGAAGAAGGAGGTAGCAACCTTGCAGAGCATTGGACATATCTGGGAGGTGCACTACCCGGATTGGTTGGCGAATGTAGTCCTGGCGCCTAAGCCTCCTTCGTGGAGAATGTGCGTTGACTACACGGATTTGAACAAGGCATGCCCAATGGATCCGTTCCCACTCCCCAACATTGACCAGACAGTGGATGAGACTGCCGGATCGGAGTTAATGAGCTTCATGGATGCTTTCAGTGGCTACCATCAAATTCGGATGCACCCGGCCGATGTTGAGAAGACAAGTTTTATGACCCCGGAGGGGCTATACTTTTACTTGGTGATGGCATTTGGACTGAGAAACTCCGGCGCAACGTACACCCGGATGGTTTCACAGGTGTTCAAAGCCGTCTTAGGGCGAACCATGGAAGCATGTGTTGATGACATGATTGTCAAGTCCAAAGAGGCCCGAGACCACGTCCGAGACCTTGAGGAGGTCTTTGAAATCATGATGAAGGTAAATTTGAGATTGAATCCAAAGAAATGTACTTTTGCTGTTCAGGGTGGAAAATTCCTCGGGCACATGGTTAGCCGGAGAGTGATTGAGGCAAACCCGGAAAAAGTTAGGGCCATCATGGAGATGGAACCACCGAAGATGGCAAAGGAAGTCCAGCGGCTGACAGGGAGATTGGCGGCTTTGAATCGTTTCCTTTCAAAGTTGGCAGAAAAGGCGCACCCATTCTTTACTGTAATCAAGAAGAGGGCGACCTTCGAATGGACGCAAGAATGTCAAGAAGCATTTGAAGAATTGAAAAGATATCTGGCAAGTCCTCCGGTTTTATCCAAGCCGGAACCTGGAGATGTCCTGACTCTATACTTAGCAATTGCAGATTGTGCCATCAGTACTGTGATTGTGAGGGAAGAGAATGGGGCCCAACATCTGGTCTACTACGTCAGCAAGACCTTGAGAGATGCGGAGTTAAGGTATTCCCGTCCAGAAAAGGCCATGTTAGCAGTCTTCTGGACGGCGAAGAGATTAACCCCGTACTTTCAGGCTCACCGGATTGTTGTGCTCACTAATGAGCCTTTGGCGTCACTTACCTGGAGCCCGGCGGCATCTGCCCGGATGACCAAGTGGGTGGTCTTCATCGGTCAGTACAATGTGGAGTTCAGACCGCGACCATCGATCAAAGGGCAGGCACTCGCTGATTTCCAAGTTGAGTGCACCGCCAGGGAGATGACAAGAGCCTAGGTTGGAACCCGAGTAGAAGACGACTGGTGGGTGATGAGTATTGATGGATCTCTAGGTCTCGATCCTACGAAGTAGGTATTGTCTTGATCACTCCAGAAAATATCCGGATATATTACGCCATCAGATTTCAGTTCCGCGTGTCAAACAATGAAGCCAAATATGAGGCCCTGATCAATGGACTGAGAATTCTCGGCAAGCTGGGAGTGTCCAGGGTTCAGGTATACAGCGACTCCCGCTTGGTTGTGGGACAAATCACTGGGGAGTTCGAAGCAAAGGAAGAAAGGATGAAAAGGTATCGAGACCTGTCCTTAGAAATGCTGGGAAGGTTTGAGTTTAACCTTGAACACATACCCCGGGCGCACAACGCGGAAGCTGATGTTCTTTCCAAGCTTAGCGCAGAGTCACCAGAGTATATAAGCAAATTAGCAATGGTGGAAGAGTTGGCAACCCCAAGTCTTAACAGGGACGAAGTGCTCTAGGTGTCATCTGATTTTCCAGAATGGATAGACAAGTTAACCAGATACATTGAAGACGGCGTAGCTCCGGAGGATCCCCGAGAAGCCCGGTTGCTGCGAATGAGAGCTCCCACCTACAAGGTGCAGGATTGAGTCCTTTATAAGCGGTCTTACAATGGCGTTTTGCTCCGCTGTCTCAGGGCAGCAGAGGCAAAGGCGCTTATGGAAGAGATACACGAAGGAGTATGTGCTGCACGTCAGGGCCCATACTCTATCTCGAGAAGAGCGATAATCCAGGAATATTTCTGGCCAACAATGAGGAAGGATTGCGAGGAGTACGTGCGCAAGTGCCCAACTTGCCAACAGTTCCAGAATGTGCCCGGGAGACCAGCCACAAACTACACGCCCATCAGCTCTGTAATCCCTTTCTCCAGGTGGGGAATCGATATCGTGGGAGCCCTGCCAAAAGAGGTTGGACAGGCAAGGTGGATAGTGGTGGCCATTGACTACTTTACCAAGTGGGTGGAAGCTGAACCACTTGCCGGGATCACAGGGAGACAAATGATCGACTTCGTGGGAACCAACATACTTTGTAGGTTTGGGGTCCCGAAGCAGATCATATCCGACAACGGAACTCAGTTTGAGGAGGCAGAGTTCCAAGACTTCCTCAAAACTTGGGGAATTCAGCATACAAAAGTGTCTGTAGCCTACCCTCAGGCTAATGGACAGGTGGAGAACGTCAATAGGACAATCATAAGTGGAATAAAAAAGAAGCTGCTTTCAGAGGGAAGCAAAAAGGTGGATGAACTACCCAGAATCTTGTGGACGTACAGAACAACTCCAAGGAGGGCTACGGGTGACACTCCTTTTGGCTTAGCCTATGGTTTTGAAGCCCGGGCTCCCGCTGAGGCAGTGATCCCTACCAAGAGAGAGATAGAATATGACCCGGAAGTGAACGAACAAAATCAGGCCATAGAGCTGAACTTCGTAGAGGAATGAAGGGATGAAGCACGGATCCGGGCAGAAAATTATCGTCGCCAGGTGAAATCTTACTTTGAAAGTAGGGTGAAACTGAGGGCATTCCAGGTGGGGGATTACGTCTTAAGGAAGCGAGAGAAAAGTTAACCAACAAAGGGTGGGAAGCTGGCTAAGAAATATGAAGGACCTTATATCATCAAGGCCATTGTTCGCCCAGGTACCTACAAGTTGGTGACTCCAAAGGGAAAAGAAATTGATAGGACATGGAATGTAGAGCACTTGGTCAAATTTTATTAGTAAAATTGTTTTGTAAAGCACTCTACTTTTGGATTTAAGATATTTGTTTCAATAAAATTTTCTTTCCTTTAAAGCCAAGTGCCTTTGCAATTTCATTGTTCTGCAGGTTTCTTCAAAAAAAAGGGGGGGGGGGGGAGAACAGCCCCGGGTGAAATAGACCCACATTACAGGGAGGTAGATAAGTTTATGCCACCTGCTAAAAATAGGGGAGGTAGATAAGTTTATGCCCCCTCAGAGGTAGATAAGTTTATACCTCCGTTAAATATGAAGGAAGAGTTGGGATTGGACTTTGAGGGCCTTTACAATCCGGAATTCAGGAAGAACAGCAAACAGACTTCGAGGGCTGAAGCTTAGTATTCCAGCAGCACAGATCAACCGAGCAAACAAACTTCGAGGGTTGGAGCTCAACTGATCCAAGGTAGATAAGATTATGCCTTAACCCGGAAGAAAGGAGGTCAGGGGCAGATGAGGTAAGCTCCCATGGCACGTCTAAACCCCGAGAGATGAGATTTTATACAGAGAATGAAATGTGTTTGTACTTGCATTAGATAAAGTGCAAAGAAATAAACATGAAGGACTACATTGATGGGCCAAAGTTTACACTTTTAGTTCACAATAATGGTTCCTAATGATATGAAAGAAATCAGAAAAATAGGGAAGTTTATCGATTGTTATTTCGAAGGCTGTATCTTAGAATTACAACGATAATTCCTAATCTGAAATTAAAGGACATTCCTTAGTATGGGACGCAGGAAAAACTCCTGGACCAAACAAGCGAATGCCTCTTGAAATAGAACAAGAAAAGGAAAATTGATTTGCAGGGAGTTAGACACCGAAGGAGGGCCTATTGCATCCATGCGGTCAACAAGAAGGAGATGGGGCCCCCCTCCATGGGCTCCTTCTCTTCGACGAGGGGCACGCGGCGGAATCAGCAGCTTCCTCTATGTCATAGTCTTCCCATGTCCCCGGACAGGGAGCTGGTGCTCCCAATGATGAACCATCGTTGGGAGGCTTCAGCAAGTTTGGAGAAGTTGTCCGTCTTTCACGTGAAGGTTCCGCCTCGACAATCGGAAAAGAACGCCCAAATCTAGCCCTGCGCATCCTCTGGTACAAGGCGAAGTCTTGGAGGGTCATAGAGCCCCAATCTATCCTCCCGGATGGAAGACTGGGCAGACTAGGAGGTGATGGCGCAGGAAGTCGAGGTGCTGGATAAAGTCTTGAGAACTTGCCAGGACTCAACCCAGCCATGTCGTTGGATTGAGCCGGAGAGGCAGGGAAATCGTCATCCGAAGAAGAAGATGTCCCAAAAAGGGTTAAGTCGATGAAGACTTTACTCTGCGATTTATTTGCCATGGCGAGGGAATCAGAAAGGGATGGAACCAGCAGTAAACCATCCTTTCCCATTTATAGTGAGAGGGGAAGGGATAGTTGGGAAGTAATGAGTATGGTTAAAAGATGCGGAAGACTAGGTGATTGGCGAATGAAGCGGTTTTAGATTCCCAATGTTTGACCAGGGTTTCGCCACTTAAGTGCATGGGCCAGTTGATTGGGCCCGTCTGCGCTTTGGGAAAGATGTCATCCTTGGAAGGTAAGGAGTTAGACACATACAGACTTCTACTTCATGCAGATGGCGGCACGCACAACATGATTAAATTAAATGACAAGAGAGATAAAGGTTTTTCCATTAAATAGCTCAAATAGAAAATTACATTCTTTTGGGATACAACAATGGACCTTATCCCTGATCTAACATTAAAACACTAAAGAGATGGGAGATAAAGATTTTCATTAAATAACTCAAACAGAAGATTACATTCTTTTGGGTTACAGTAATGAGCTTTGTCCCTTATCTACTACTATCCTACTACTGGAAAAATCTGAAGGCTGGGCGAGTCGGCACTTCAGGAATCTAAGGGGAGTACATTCGCTGACCCTTGCTACCATGCTTGAGCCAGAAAAGGCCCCCAGAGCGGAGAGGTGTGGAGATAGCCCACCGTCCCTCTTGATGACATTCAAAAGAATGCGAAATGATACCAACGGGTTGGGATTGAAAAGCATTCCCCCCGTGGGCACCATCCGATCACTCCCATGAAGGCGGACAAGGAGGACGATAAGGCATGAGGGAAGGACTCAAGGCCTATTTCCGCCTATACAGGAGGAGGAGGCGGATCCCGGAAGGTTCCGTCCTTTTCCCTGCGTATAACGGAAGCCTATTTCCCCCCATGTCATAGTCCCCCCATTCCTCAGGCTGCTGTCCATATGACTGCTGAGGGGAGGGAGAACCTTGGGAGGAAGGCCTCGCACCAGAGACCAACCGGGAAGCTCATGAGTGAGGATTGCGTCTCTTCTGGGGTTGGGACGTACCAGGACAGCTAGAAGAAATTCCTGTCCTGGCACCGTTAGGAAGCACGTTGGAATCTAGAAGAACACCCCCTGATGCCTGTTCAGGGAGATGAGAATGGTTCTCCTCCCTGGGCAAGGGATAAGTCACCGATTGTTCAGAGGTAAGAGAAGGCCCAGAAGAGAGTTCAGGTGTTGGGGCCCCAAGTGAGGGAAACGCCAAGGAAGAAGAATCAGAAGAAGAATCGGAGATAGTTAGATCAATAAAGACAACTCTGTTGGCGTTATTAGCCTAGCCCTTAAATAGGAGAGTAATCCTAAAGGAGAAGTGCAAGGGACGCGGAGTCAAAACACTTATCCGATTGGGAAGCAGTTGCGGATTCCCGAGGAAAGCTGTGGTTGCACCGTTTCATTATTGGGCTGAGGTGAATTGGGCCCGGCGTAATTAAGGTGGGCCAGTCACTTAGCGGAATGATGAAGAAAAGAGCACCTTATGAACATGGTTAAGCCCAAGGCTTAGGCGGATAAAAATTCTGCTAAGTCCTAGAGGGAGATAAGAATCCCAAAAGGAGAACGGTTAGCCCAAAGGAAGGAGTCTATAGAAACATGGATATAAAAGAGAAATTGGCAAAAGACAAAATGTTACAAGCGTTATCAAGTTGCTACCATGTAAATGTTACAAAGTAAAATACAATAGCTATTGGAGAAAAGGAAAGTCAAGGCCCCGGGTCAGCACGAGAGTCTGGGGAAGGAAGAAGAAGAGGCAGACCGTAGTATGATATGAAGTCATTCAAGGACCGGTGAGCCGGAAGACCACTCTAGATCGCCTCGTAAATGCAGTGTTGCATGTCAAATTTCCCTTCTTCGTAAAGGGCTTCGGCACGGGCGGTCAGGGTGGCTACCTCCTCTTGATGAGAAGTTGTGGTCTTCTCCAGTTCTCTCACCCTTGACTGGAGCTCACTTGCAGTCTGTCTCTCCTTCTCCAACTTCTCGAGGGTAAGCCGTTTAGCCTCCATATGTTTCACCACGAAATCACTAAAATGAGCACCCTCTTGCTTGGCATTACGGAGTGAATCCTCCAGCTCAGAGATCCGGGATTCCCTTTCAACCACCTCAGCTTTTAGGCTCCCCACTTTGTCTTCTGAAGCTGAGGCCTTCGACTCCAGGCTGGAGATTTGTGCCCGGAGTCTGTCAAACTGCGTTTCCAGATCCTGGGTCCCCCTTTGGTAGGTAGCAATCTGCTCTTGCAGGGACGTGACCCGGGACCTTTCAGCCACCAGTTCCGCCGAGCCATCTACCTTGAGCTTGGCATTCTCTCCTTGAAGGGCCTGGACCTGTTGCTCTAGGGAGTCAACCTTGTGCTGCAAGGCCTTAACAGCCAAGTCCTTTTCCTTCAGAACCACCACGGCTCTATAATTTCCCCATGCTCCACCCAAGTACTCCTCAGTTAGAGTGAGGAGTGATTGTTGGGCCTGGAGGCGAAAAAAGAGAAGTCAAGAAAGAGATAACTGAAAGAGAAATAAAGAGAGACTCTTGAAAGAGAAAAGTACCTGCTCCATGGAATGCAGAGCATTGAGGGCAAGCAGGTCAGGGCGTGCCTGGGGAGTTATGGGCTCCTGCATCGACCCCCTCATTTTCTCCAGGTTCGCCTGGAGTCCAGTGGGAGGCCTGCATGGAGTTCAAACCGCGGAAAAAACATGCCCAACCCTCTTTGAAAGCAGGGTAGGTTTGCGGCGTGAACTTGCACCGGATGGGGAGATTGAAGGCTGGGGGTGTGATGGTGGAACGCTGTTTTTCCGGTTCCTACTGTCTCTCAGTCTCTCTCTCCGTCTCGGGGGGAGCTTCCGTATCCTCCTGCCCTCCAACCTCCTTCTCTGTCGCAGGGGAAGCCTCCGGTTCTTTCTGCCTGTCAGCTTCTTCCTCTACCCCTTGGGGAATAGTTGCGTCTGGTGGGGTGGTATTGTTCACCTCAGGCTGAGGCTGCACTGTAGGTCTTTTAAGTGCTGGCTGGTCCAGAAGTTCATCTTCCTCACGATCTAAGCTATCCGGGTTGGGTAACTCCAAACCTCCGGATGCGGCAGCAGGGGTGGTACTCTGGGAACCAGAAGATGCAGTCAGGGGGCTGGGCGAAGCGGGAGTACCCTCACCCTTATTCTTCTTGGGAAGGAAATCATCATCAGTGACTCCTTACCGTGGCTGTTTCTGGGACGGGGTGGGCTTCCTCAGCCCGGGAATGGCGGAGATGGGAATAGCCTCCAAGGCAGCAGCCGGCTTGCGAATAGCCAAGGCAGTGGAGTTACCTTGGGCTTGGCTCCCGGAAGAGCTCTCGACCTGATTTGATTCCACGACAGGAGGAGCCTTTGACCTTTCATGGGAAGACACCCCTTCAAACGGAATGGGGTCAGGACCCAGGGGGTAGTAAAAATCCGCCTTCTTGTATAACCTGGCGTCTCGAAGGGAGTGATGTGGAATCAAACCCCCTTCCTCTCTCAAGGCGTAGTATGCTGCCTCCGCCAGGGGGGCTGCAACGAACTTTGTCCGAGAGATAGAACTGCGGCGTACAACACTCGGCAGATCAATAGGGCTGTGAACTGGAACTCAATAACGAAGTAGCGGTGGGACCATTTGTCGTGTTTAAACTCAACCCTCTCAAAAATTGGAGCTTGGGGATGAGGAAACAGGGTGTAATAAGGAAAAGGCCCACCAATGCTGAAAAGGACGAGGAATTCGTCCAGTGTTGGGGTTCTATCTAAGGCACAGCACCGCAAGATGTAGGACACGACATACTTATGTGCATTTGCAGTCAATTGGCCGGGGGCGAACCCGAAATGGAGGCAGATGTCGCGAACCAAGCCATGAAGGGGCAATCTGAACCCATTTTCCACAGAGTGATAATGCATGACCATATACTTATGGCGGTTTGGATTGTGAGATAAACTAATTCCCCCGACAGCATCGGGATGGTGGACCCGGAAGCCTTTGCCCAGAAGTGCGGCCACTTCTCGAAGTTCATCCTCCTTGATGATAGAGGGTTCATGGGTCCAGGTTGCGGGATCTGCAGAAGGGGCCATTTCGGAGAAGGGAACGAAAATTTGGGGGAAATCACAGTCGGAATTCGGGTCGAGTCAAGATTTGGTAGTGAAGGAAGGAGATGAGTCCAGAAGGGGTTATATCCGTTGTAAGGAGGGACCCAAGGCACTCGAGTGCGACGTTTCTAATCCGACACGAAAACCAAAGGCGGCTCATCATTAGTTTTCTAGCGACACGTCTCTAGAAAACTAGGGGGCTTGTGATGGATATCGGGTCTGATGGACCCTACTCCAGGCCCAATAGAGGCCCACAATAGCACGAAATGGACAAGGCCAAGTGCCAGTAGTGGATTTAGCCCACTAAGACGCGTGTGGCGAATAAGACAGCCCAATCATGTGCTGAATTAAGATGACCCAGTCCGGAGAAGGAACGGGACACGTGGCCCACACCACCAGATTGTGGACGAGATGGGAAGAGAACGAGACCGGAAAAGAGGGAATCACAACCCCATGATCTCCATAATCCCTCCCATTATGTATAATGTTAATTACAATATTAGAAGTACTATAAAAGGGGAAAGAACCCGCCATTTTAAAAGGAGAACCCAAGCAATTCTATACTTAATCAAAGAATATTATTACGAGATTATATCTTTCTGGTTCATATTACGTTCTTGGTCCACCATCTGATCGGGTTAATCCCATCAGAATCTAACAAATTTAATCGCTAATTTAACAAATTTAAATTTTAAATAATTTAACTACTTTAGTTTATAATATTCCATTTTAGTTTTTTTTCAAAATCCAAATAAAATATTAGATCTTTTTAAATAAAAAATGAAAACAAGTATCGGGGATTTATTGGGCACATAATCGACACCGTCGGCCACTAATGCCATGTTCGTGATTTTAGTGTCATCTACGATTTTCATGTACGATTCGATTTACAAAACACTTACATGAATGTGAGTAGACGTCAAGGGAGTTATGAGGCATAACGTGAATTTGGGGCAGCAACCCCCTTGTAGTGGGCTCCTAGGACAGAGACTCTGCCTAGGATCAATATATTTATGGACATTATTAATTTATGAAAATCCTTTAAATTTTTGAGAATAGAGTCTAAAATTCTTAACTTCCAAACATATGGAGACATGTTTAGAATTATCCAACAACCACATGGACCCTACCAATGCAAAAAGGTGCATTTATTATCTCTAGATGATTCAACTTAGTATAATATCTTATTCAATTGAAGTAGGTGGGGATATCCTAAAATAAATTAATCTAAAACTATATTTTCACATGATTCATTTAGTCTATCAATTTTGTTCTTCACGTTCATATATCATCTTTAGTAATGTTTCATCTAGCATTAGGATTTATCTAACTAAAACTTTCAACATACCGGTGCCACCTCTTATGGTATTGGGAAACAGAAAATACCAACTGACACTGTGCCAATATCTAATTGTACATTGTCAATAATTTTTGTGTAATTTTTATTATATTATTCAATAAAAATGAATAGTTTCATCAATTATAAACATTTATAACAAAATAATTAAGAAACTATTTCTAACACCGTAATCCGTCCAGGTCTGCAGCCCCTTTCAGATTATTGCCTAGGAGATTCGCCCCTTCCACTGCCAGGAACATGCGAATCACTCATTCTGCCTACTTGTGTGTAACAAATAAAACACACTACATGATCAGCGTTGAAGCTGAGTAAGCATATCTAAACCGAAAAATATTCACATAAATTGAATTTCGATTCATAATCAACCATTTGATATCATGCACACAATATATAATTCTATCATGATATTCTCAATATTTTATTCCAAATCATTTCAATATTCAATATCTCAACATCCAATAATATCCTTAAACTCTGCTTAGTCTAAGGCCAATCTTTTTTATGTTTACCAATGTTGGGAAACGAGGCTTGGATAACGCGGTGGAAAACAAAAATTTAGAGTCCAAAACACAATTTCACCCAAAAACAACTTGCGTAAATTACTAGCTATTGTAAGAAATTCACCTTAGCGGTGAAAAACAGAGATTTGAGAAACGGCCGGGGATGGTTTTGAGGAGATGAACGTAGCGCCAAACGTATGAAGCCTCTAATGTATACACACGAACTTGCTCCAGAGTCCTAGATTAAACTTGTACTAGCAAGTTTAATATAGGATAGTAAAAACTATAATATTACTACTTTAGGGAGTAATAAATATATATAGTAAAATATTTATCTTATAAATATTTTTTTATAATATTTTGTGTATATTTCTAACACTTTAGGAAAACAACTTTGAACACAAAATAAAATATTCTCTCTCTCAAAATGGTGGCCGAAAGTTTGTGGTGTGTATTAAAAATCAAGACCTCATTTTATAATAAAGTATAGTTAGGAAATTGCTATGAAATTAATGTTAAACATAAGTCCATGTATATGTCTTAACACCATGTGTAAATGTTTAATACCTTAGCTACCAAACAAAATAGAATCCCTACATCAAATAATAATCAAATATCTAAATTTGACATTAATAATTAATAATGTTTAATACCTTAGGTATCAATAATTATTATATAATTAAAATGATGAAAATAAAAATAATATATATATATATATATATATACACACATATATATATATATATATATAGACACACACACACAGATATATATATATATATATATGGTTCTCCTCTGTAGAGATGGTCACAGGGTTGATTGGCGAACCACACCACCCGGGTTCGATCCCCAGAAGATGCAAATTTGAAGGAATTTTAAAGAATTAAGCGTGCTGGCATGGGAGTAGTAGAAATGATGGGTGACCCCCTGGGAAGTAGAATTGAGCTTATAGGGCTGGGCTTATAGCGGACACTTACGGCTAGGGTTGATAGTACTACTCTCATACTAACAAAGTGCATCTTCTTTTCGAGGGTCACCTAGAAACTCTATGGTTAAGCGTGCTTGACCTGGAGCAATTCTTGGATGGGTGACCCCCTGGGAAGTTTTCCTTGGGCGCGCACGAGTGAGGACAAAGTGTGCGGGAAAGACTTGTGTTGGTTTGTGGGGCCAGTCTACAATCTTATGAGCGGACATTTACGGCTAGGGTGGGGGCCGGGTTGTTACAAAAACGAAGAAGTTGTAGGAAGAGCGTTGAAAGTGCAAACGTAACCGTTTAAGCGTCCGGTCTCCAACTTTGACACACGAACAACGCCGGAGTCTACCACAATCTTTATGCTAGTAAAGATTATAGTAGTATAAAATATAAAGATTAAAATTTGGGATAATAATAATCTTGTATATTTCTATAGAAAATATTTCTAATAATATTTAGAAAATATTATAGATATTTTTGTTGGAATGCATGAGTTCAACCCTTTCTGTGTTGTTAAGTGTTGACTCACAGGTTTTGATAGTTGACAAACACAATTTATTCAAGTCAAGATCAAAGTGCTACAACGACAAACACGAAGACTTGAAGTGTCATTCCTTGAAGTATTCAAGAAGGTGCACAGGATTTTATTGGAGTCCGAGACGCGTTCGGAGCGCCTAACGGAGGTCTCGGAGGAGTAGAAGATTTCCGAAGACTTTTTATTTATTTGAGTCGTAGGAATAATTGTAAGGATGACGAAAATATCTTCTCTCCAAAATTATTTTTATGAGAGTTAAAATAAAAATTATATTTATTTTTGGAGTCAGTTGAAAAATCTTTTTAACTGTTCAAAATAGTTTTATTGAGTCAGTCTCAAAAGGTGTGCCAAACATTTATCAAATATTTATTTTGATAATATAAAATATTTTTGGTAAGCAAAAATATTTTATTCAAATATTTTTCGTGTACTTCGTTTGACACACAAAATATTTTTGGGACTCAATTTCTACACCAAAATTCTTTATTTAATTCAATTTTTGAATTTGAATTAATTCATTTCAACCCTTTTTATTTGTTTGTTTATTGGAGCCTCCTTGACATCTTTTCTTGTCTAAAACAAAACATTTCACTCCAATTTGTACATCCCACTCGCACACATGTCTTGGGTCCTCATGTTTGAGGATTGTTCGTCAGTGGATCGATCCATGCGTTAGGATTGATCACCGTGGACTGTGCTCAGGGATTGGGATCGATCTATTTCTTCAGATCGATCACTTTATTTTTCGGAATTCCATCGGTGGATCGATCAACCAGCTTGGATCGATCATCCGTAGACTTGCAAATATGTGAGCCTGTTTTTTGGTTCCAGAGGATCGATCCCCTGCCTTGGATCGATCCCCCGAAGCTTTGACAGAAATCCTTTTTCGGAAGTGTTATAATAAGTGCCCTTCACTAGAGGGGGGGGGGGTGAATAGTGAGGCACGAGAATGTTTATAAATTTTCGCGGAATAAAAATCGTAGGGATAAAGTAAAGAACGTAAAAGGTAAAGAGCGAAAAAAAGCGTAAAGAGAGCACACCAAGATTTATACAGGTTCACCACAACGTGTGGCTAGTCCAGTCTCCCGAGAGACTCTCTCGAGCTACACTACTTCCGTTAAGCTTACGGGTGCTTAACAAACCGTTACAACCTGAGAACTCGAGTCCCACGAGCCTCAATACACTTGCTCGGAGATACCGCACTCCAAGACTTCAACTCGAAGGAATATGCCCTTCCTTCATACAACCAAGGGAACAAACCTCCCTTAAAGTGTTCACAACACTTAACCACTCAAGAACAAAAACTCTCTTAAAGAGTAGAATATGAGTAAACTAATTTAGATCAAGAACACACTCAATTCCTCAAGAAATGGCTCTAAAAAGCTATGTAAAAAGTTTATGGAATAATGCAATGTAAAGCTATGAAATGTGTGAGGAATGGATGTGAAAAGTAGACCCAAGAGACCCCTTTTTATACCCAAAAACAAGGTGCAACAGTTGGGAAAAGATTGGGGTTGATTAGCTTGATTTGTGGAAATCAAATAAAAGTGGATCTGCTGAAATCTAGCCCGACAGCGCTGTTCATATGGTGAACATCGTTGTTCTGGCTTTGACTTTCCTTTAAAAATGGCTAACGGTCATCAAAACATCGATGTCTAGAAGTCTACATTGCTGTTGGGGTGTTTGACTTTCAAAAATGGAAAGATTTTGTCTTAAATAGCCCAACGGTCATTTGAAAACATCGTTGTTCAACCATGAACATTGCTGTTCAAAAACTTACTGCCCAGGGCTTCTGAAGGCCAACATCGCTGTCGGGATTTCCGACATGCATGTCGGGATGGTTTGCCAGAACCATGGTTTGGCAGCCAACGCCGAAAACCGATGTCAAAAACCAAAGTTCTCCAAAATGAAAACCAAGTGTTGGAAACACTTATATAATGTATTTTAGGTAGAAACCAAGTATAAAAACTTAAAAACCACTTCATTAAGGTAAAAAACCACGGCTAGCCAAGTTTATGCCGTTTCACATGGTTTTCACCAAAAGACCAAAAACGAAAGGTGGTTTTTAACATGTTTTTGTTGGAGAACTATTTGGATATGCCCAGAAGTAAAAAC